TAAGAGAAGTATTAAGAAATTATAGCCTTTGTCATTTTGGTTAAATTTTAGATCAATTGTAATCAATAATCATTATTTGGGGAATTACTGCAGTCTCGTTACAGAATGATTCTGTTCTTTTAATATTAATCATTAGCGAGGGCTGGATGTATTTGGCAGACATGGCATGGACGAATTTTGCAACTGCTCCTTGCGATGGACGAATTTTGCAGACGTGACGTGGACGATTTTGCAGATGGTGCTGCCGTTTCATCGTCGTGTTGATGTCTTCGTCTGAACTGTTCGACGTCTTCGTCGGAACTGTTGAGCGGGGCTGCTGAATTCGGTTGTGGAAAATGGACGAATGTTTTACTTTATTTGAAATTAAAAATTATATTTATAAATATATTGACAAATATTTATTATTTATTTTGGTTATTAGATTTTGGATTTCAAACATTTAAAGGAAAATATCACAATCAATTTTTTGGGTACATTTCATTTTACCTTAACTTTCATATAATCACGCTCCTAACAACCTAATTAATATAGTATTTTTTTTTTTGTTCACGTTCATCTAACTGGATTTCTTTTTTGTTTTTTTGTCGAAACGATAGAGATAATATTAAACTCAAACCGCGAACAATGTTCGAATACAACGAAGTCAGCCAAGCCGGAATGAAAACACGAGAGGACACGCTTAGAAAGCGGCCTACATCGTAACCGAGACAATAAAAATAAGCTAGCCTAACTAACCACTGCAAATGCCTAGCTAGCAAGCTAACTACCAAGAGGAACCGAAGAAGAAAAAAAGAGGCAAACCAAAGCCAAACAACAAAAACCGATAAAAGCTACCAACTATAAGACTGCAAAGAGCAACACTCAAGCCATTCTTTGTGAGCAGTATTGATGACCACCGGGATAGGTATTTTAGTTTGCTCAAAAAGCCAAAGATTCCTCGACTTCCAGAGACACCATAGGAGATATGTAGTGAGTTGGATGCGATTCTCGGCCACCTGGGAATTGTCAAGGGAACAGAGTTGCCACCACCAAACTTTGAAAAAGAAGTTTTTCATGCACAGTTCATCCCACTGCACAGGCCCCATTTTCCACAGGAATTTAGCCCTTTGACAGAAGAAGAAAACATGCTCGATGGTTTCCGGACCTTCACCACAACAAGGACACAAAGGATCAACATGAATGCCCCTCTTAACCAGATTGGTTCTGACAGGCAGCAGCCCAGAAAAACATTTCCAAAGAAAGAGCCTAATTGTACCTTTAATTTTCAGTCCCCAGCTCCTCAGCCTAGCTTTGCTACCAGCAGGGGAGTTATAATTAATATAATATTTTAACTAAATAATTATTTATCTAACAATTATCATTCATCTTTTGTCACATGATGTTATTTATTCTTTCGGTATTCGAGGGGTGATGGTTGTTAGAGATATGCTGTAAAAGCTATGTTTTGCAGATTCTATCAATTCCATATTGATTTGGGCATCATGTTTCAGTCAAAGTACATATGTTTGCAGTTTGTTCATTTATGCAAATCATACTCCTTGTCTTATATTGAGATAGTGTGGTTCGAAGTGTTTCGAACAGAAAGATCACCTATCAATTCCTTATAAAACTAAACTATTCGTTCACAGTCTAGACAGACAGTGAGACCCCTCTTGGAAAAAGACTATAGTGTATTATTGATTCAGTTGGTCTTTGACTGAAGAATTACACTAGCACTTATGATAGGTGTTGAACAGGACCACGGAAGGATAAAATTATGAGACTCACTGATCGTTGTTGTAATCTAGACCTTCAGTGATTGATGCATTCTCTTAAGCTGTAAGATAATATAAAATAGGCATATATGCACTTCTTGTTTATTTGATTTACCAAGTGATCCCTATTTTTATTAGGATGACATACTAGGTATTTTGGTAAATGAGAATGATTATATGATGTGTTATTATAAATTATTTATGATCACCATGTTCTAGTGCGCTGGATTGATGACGTCCTCGAAATGAGCTCATGAAGGTATATTATGTTAAACCCTGGATTGATGACATCCCCGAAATGAGTTGTACTAATTTTGAAAATGGATAAGAAGTTGATTAATTATTTTGTCAGTAATTTAATTAATCGACGGACGTTATATCTTAAACATAGGAAGGTAAATCGATCAATCAAATTAATATAATTAATCATGGAGGTTCCAATTTATTGATAAATTAGGAGCTAAATGGAGAGAGCAATAATATTACTCTAGTGAGATGTTTTATTATTTCATTCCATTTAATAAGGAATTAATTTTATTCCATATATTATTCCATGGGGAAGGGAATATTCCTACAAGAATATTGTCTAACGTTAGGAGA